AGAAAGAACTTAGTATCTGTGCATTACTTTTCTTCACAGGGTTTTTTTTTTAACTTCAGGAGCATTCACTCATCCATCTCCCAGATCAATACAACTTCCCAGTCCTTTGGACACCCCAGAGAGCAAAGTAAGTGGTGAGCAGGCACCCAGTTACACGGGATCTTGCTGTTTAAAATGGAAATCGATCAGCAATCAAATGTAGAGTGAAAATTATCAGAACACTGCAATGCTTAGATCTCTGCCATTTGAGGCTGGGGACAGGGGAGATTTGTATTTTAAAATAGCTTGACCAAGTAGATTATGAAAATGATCGATCAACTATTAATAATCCAAGATTCAGGGTTTTTTTTCACTCCCTCTCTCTCTCACACACACACATCAAACAAGTAAAAAGTTCGCTATGCCCAAATAATCTCTACCCCAAATCCTCTTATTGATTTACAGGCATCAAGAGAGACCAAAAATTGACATTGCTTCAGGGGGCAGCAAATTCAATGCTACCTACCCCGTAGCTTCCCTGAACCTATAGGAAACTCTCTAGAGAAGTGGTAAAGTTAGCCTACAGGATAATGCCAGTGCATGGTATTCAATAATGGTTTCATAATGCTTCTTTCCCTAGCAGGCAAGATGAGCAATGAGTTAAAACTGGAGGCACTTGCCCAAGAGGAAAAAAAAAAAAGGAAAAGAAAAAAGAAAAGAAATTCAATTCCCCTTCCCCAGCTAAACAAAAACTCTAGGTTTTATACTTCTACGACCTAGATATAGTCAAAGAGATCATACAGAATGTTCCTAGGGAGAAAGAGATCTCAACTCTCAGCTGTTCAGCCAACTTTTCAGCTCAGAAAACATCTATACAAGGGAATACTGAAAGAGACACAAACAGAGGTTTATGGGATAGAAACAGTGAAAGACCTTAAACAGACCTAAACTCAGCACTAGGGAGCTGTGGCCACATTGTTTCAACTTCCCATTACTTATTTGTGAGAGCATATAACCCAGGCTCTTCTCTTAACTCCAGCGCTCTGAATTCCCATTAGGAAATATCACTTTTCAGAGAAGAAAAAAATCAAACACATTTTCCTGTATCGTAAATGATGGGTGATGGAGGGGGAGGTGGAAGAGATAGGGTCAGAAAGGTCATGGGGCTTTTCAATTGTTTTACCCAGAGTAACAAAAGTCTCCACATTGCAGACTGAAGGTATGAAACTAAAAAGGCTCCACATGGTTGTGCCGAGCTGAAGTCTGTAAATACCTACACTATGAAGACAGCATGTTTTCAACTCCAGCTTGCAAGTTGTATTAAATAATGAATGGTGTAAATTAGACTGCCTTATTTATTAACAAGGCCAGTGTGGATTATGTAACCACACTCCAAATTTAAATGCATGGTTCTTAAATGCATATAAAGCACAATCCAAAGTTCTAGAACTCCCAATGGAAGGGCTGAGAAGTAAATACCAGAGTAATAAAAATTGATGCCTTTCACTGAATCTTTGCAAATGCCAGGATTTTTTTTTTTAAGTACGATTAATTGCAATGGCAAAGCTTATTAAGGTGAGAGGGCCAAAATCAATGTATTAATGGCATAACATTACAGCTGCTCAACCAACAGTAACAATAAATTGCATGTAGAGGCTCTGGGAGTAGAAGCTGAAAATTCTATTTATATTGTGCTAGGAGGAAAAATACTAGACTTGTCTCCAAATATTACCCTCAAATCAGAGAATACCACCAAAGAAATTCAGAAAAAGATCCCTCTTTGTCTTCATAAAACACGTGCAACATAAGAATACATACTCTTCCACAACGACGTGGATATACTTAACACTACTGAACTGTAAACTTAAAAATGGTAAGATGGTAAATTTTAGGTTATGTATTTTTTACCACAGTAAAAAAAAAAAATGCATTACTTATTTTGACCATGCCTTTTCCCACTTGGGTGAGACAGCACTTGTCCTTTGCAATGCACTTTGGCATTTGATGGAACTGGGACTTCAATGGCTGGTTACATAATTCCAACAACAGGCTTCACTCTTGAATTCCATTATATGTGACACTGGTACTGTTTTTAAATCTATTTTAACACTGCTGTGGTATAGCCATTTTCAAATAACAGGAGCTGCCACTTAGCAGTGCAATGTTGGGCAGGCGTGATATATATCTATAGATAGAGAGATCTAAATCTGGATATATCACATTAGAGGGTAAAAGTATGGGACAGATACTACGGTGGGAAGATTTTTAATAAAACAGGTTCAAACCGTGACTATGAAAACAAAATGTCAGCTTAGCTTAAAACATACACGTAAAAACAAAAATATCCTACTCCTTAATTCATCTATACATATATTTTTAAAATCTCTTCTATTTGCAAACTCAGAACCCTAAGGGCCCAGGGGTTTAATATACAGATACTGAAAGATACATCGTTTTTAAATGATGTGGGAAACTGTTGCTTCAGTAAGTTCTAATCACAGTTTACCTTCAGTATTCCTATTTTTAAAAAATGGAAGTACATAATTTCAGGTTCACACCATTAAACTAGAACTTTAAAACAGGTTATTTAAGGAATGCCACTGGGTCTAATAATAAAGTAAAAAAAAAAAAAAGTGTAATTTGGTTCCAACTGTAGCTGGCCAAGAATTTAAAAGCTACTCAAGAAAATATTAATATGTAAGAAAAAGAACACAGATGGTATCATATAAGGATGAGAGTGAAATAAGGGCATCTACTAATGTCATTTTAAGATCATAAAAGCAGAATTCAAAATAATTATACAAAGTGCTTTCCAAACAAGTATTGTGATACGTTTTACAGGTAAAAACACCAGGGGACAAACTGGCTGGGCCCAAACAGAGCTGAGGAACAGAGCAGAGAAACGTACCTTTTCTCAGAGCTCATATCTACTCAGCCTGATATTACTAACCTAATTCCCTGCCCTTAACATTTAGCCTTACCCTTCTACTCTCCACTCCCCCAATCCCAATGGATTTTCAAATAAAAAGGGGGAAAAAATAAAAGTAGAAATTAGGAGTGCCATGATTGAATTAATAACTGTGACAAATGCTTTAGTCAATATATTAAAGAAATCCATTTAAAAAAGGCTGAAAATAGGAACCTACCATGAGATATAAAAGAAGCAACAACAACAATTAAGAAAGCTCTGCTCAAATCTATTGATTTCATATATATCAGGCAGCCACAAGGGTTTGAAATAATAATTTTTTAAATTTAAAGATAGTTTTATTTTCTTTTTCTCAGGTAGTGGTTTTGAACCTATCAAAGGGAAAAAATTAAAGTGAAAATGATCATCCCTATCTCATTTCTTTCTTCATTATATGCACCTATCCTCTAATACAGAATTTTAAAACAACCCACCGCCCCCACCCCCAACACACACAACAGTGTCTAACTGGATAGAGGCACTCCCCATGGTCTCAAAATAGTCTGAAGGGCTCTGAATTCCGTATGGCCTCCTCCATCTGACTACTGATGCCCCATCTTGTGAAAAAGACAGATTCTGACAAAAGGCCACAGACACTTTGGACCAGGCTGGTGAGCCTGGACCAGCCCAGCCCAAGCCTAACACAGTTGGAGCCCTACCCACCCTTCCTCTCCGGCTCTGGCTCCTACTCTCCCTGCCAAAAAGATTGAGATCCCAGCATCCTGGACTCAGCCCGACAGCTGGCTGCTCCCAGCACATCTGAGCCGTGCTAGGCCTGCACAGCCCCCCTGCCCTGGCCTTAACAACGTGAACATCAGCAGCAGAACAGGCAACAGAGACTAGGAAGGTCTCTTACTTACATTAAAAAACAGGTTATCTCGGTCAACTACGTTGGCAGAAACACGGTTGTGCGCTTTCTGTGTGTGGGGGGGAGATGCATGCGCACTCGACAACCGGAAGGCCACAGCCCAAGCCTTACTTTCAGGGCTGCCTATCTCAGTGTCAAACACGGTAGGGAAAACTGGGAGAAACTTTGCCTTACAATCCTCCACAAGCATGAATAAAATCTCATATAAATGAAATGGATGAAATGACAAAGTCCGTAGGAAAAAAATAGTAATAACACCTCCAGCAGAGATGGCACAGGAATGCTAGAGAAAGGATTTGCTGGGTAATGTATTTGTCACAAGGCATCAGAAGAGGAGAACAGAAATACACAGTTCTGCTTCTCCATCAAGCCAGCTCAAACATTACAAGGGACATAAGGGTCCGATGCTAAAGCCAGCATTCATCAGAGTACTATACACTGCTTTATCATCCAACCTAGTCCCGGGAAATTATTCATTCCATGGGCAATTAAGATTTATAATACAAATGGTCTCAAAATCATATCTCTAGGAAGTCAAGTCCAAATTAAATCAGACTAGGCTTTTAGGCTTCCAATGATCACATTTTCTCTTTTCAGCGAGTGCATTTCAACACTCAGAACTTCTCCTCTTACAGATCATTTTCAAGGCCATCTCTGGATGCAATCTTCTAAGCAAAATCTGATATATAAAATGAAAAGGGAAATTGGTTAACTCTAAACCTCAGAGAAATACGTTAAGGGAGAGACTCTCACTGCCTTCAACAGATTTCGGAAAGTTAATTATTTTAACCTCCTTTCTAGTAATTATTACTGGAACTTCTAACACAACATTCATATAGTGCTTTATAAAACAAAAATGTCCAAAATTAAGTTATTGCATACAGGCGAGCCTAAAGCACACCCAGCAGAGCTTTGAAATATCAAAAGCATATCAAATTCCTTGCCCCCCACCACACATATTATTGGCATATATATTTAAAACTTATTTTAAAGTGTCACACTTCTTCCCGCACTAGCAGCCCAAGCCAGTGAAACAGGTATCGGACTGACGGCCCAGCCCTGTATCTCTTCTCCTGACTTCTCCCCACACTTGGGACAGCTTCACTTCCAGGACCTACCCACCTTGGCCAGCCCCGGCCTTAAGGGCGAAGAGAGAAAGAAGGAGGGAAAGCACCAGGAACTCACATTTCGGTGATGTTCTCAGGGTCTGCACTGCTAAGCTCCAGCCTCGGAAATGCCACGATGCCGGGAGAAGGGTCGCTGCACCAGATCCGAGAGGCGCCGCAAGTGCAGGACGTGGGACAGGCGAGAGCGGCCCTCCAGAAGACCGCAAGCAGCCAGCAGAAGCCCCAGAGCCGCGCCATGGCGGGTCCACGCCACCTCGTCCAGGACGACATCCCTAGCCGCCAGCGCCAGCCCGAGTGTCTGTCCCCGCGCTGCACCGGCCGGCGTCCCCCACCTGTGCGGGGAGGCCTTCCCCGCGCTTGCAGCTCTATCGACTCCTCGCTGCTTGTCGCGGCCGCTCAGAGTCCGGCGTGTCCAAGGCTGAGCCGGTCTCGGGCGGAGCGTGTTCGGGCGGGCTGCACAGTTCACAGCGGCCGGGGCATCGCGGGCCGCTTCACAGGGGGCGCTACCGCGGCTCCGAGCTCCGCCGCGGCCGTGGCTGCATGGCCCGGCGCGCCGGGCGCTGCCCGGGACTCTCTGAGGCGCAGGCTTCTTGCTAGAGGCGCACAGGGATCCGGTACACACCTCGAGGCTGAGGACAAACAAACAAGCGTAAGACTGAGCGCAGGACCCCGAACACCACTAACTGGGGCACTCCCTCCGCACTCGCCTCACCCCCACCCGACCCCCGCCGGGAGACTGTGGATGGATGAGTGCCCAGTTCCGGCCCAGGAATCAACTTGCCCCACGATGGCACTGACGCCTCTGGAACCGCCAGTGTGCCCACTCTCTCTCTCTTCAAGCCTGAGGCCAAGGGAGAGGAGGTAGGAAAAGGGTCCCCGAGACAGGATTCCACGACACATGCTGGGCGGAGGACCCTTTCAAGGGGGATGCGAGACTGCTGGCGGCTAGGGCTCCGCGACGGGGCCGCCGAATGATGCTGCAGAATCCGCCACGGCCGCCGGGCGCAGGGGGCGCGGGCAGGTGGCGCGGCACGTCCCACCTGGGGAGCAGCCGCGGCTGCCCCAGGGGGGACAGTGAGGGCCGAGGCAACCGAGGGTACTGTCTGCGCTGCTCACCCGGGCTCCGGCGCCTCAACGCCCGCCGGCGGTGCCTGGGTCCAGGCTCCTGCTGCCGCCGGGGACCGAGCGCGGAGAGCGCGAGCGAAGGAGCGAGCGAGGCTCCGACTCCAACCCAATTCCGGGAGCCGCCGCCGCCGCCGCCGCCGCCTCTGCTACTGCTGGCGAAGTGACGTGAGGGCTGACGCAGAGCAGGGGCAGAAACTCCAGAAAATTAGTCTGAAATCCAAAAACACACACGCTCATACACACACAAACCCATAACACCCTCCAGACAAAAGCAACAGGGAGGGGAGGGGAATCTGGGGGCGAGCGGGGAGGAGGGAGGCATCGGTGCCACTGGCCAGAAGCAGACAGCAGCAGCATGTGGGAGTTCACACACGCGCGCACACACACGCACACATCCTGGCCGTGTAGACACGAGCGCGCGTGCGTGTGTGTGTGCATTTAGATCCAGGTACCTCTGAGATGAACCGTTCCGCTGCTTGACGCCTCCTGGCCCCTAATTCACACCACCGTCTCTTCTACCATCGCAGCAGAGGCTGTCTCCCTTTTTGAAATGGAAACCGGGCTTGGTTCAGCTCTGAAAAATGCGCTGATTCTTATTATAGGAATCCTCCCTCCCCTCTCACTCCCCGCTGCGTTCTCCTTTCCCACCCTGCCTAAAAGGGAGGGCGAGCTATCCTAAAAATAAATAAATATTGTAAACACCAAAACGTGTTCCGCATTGGTAACCAAGGATCACCGCCCCCAATCCGGGCCACCTATTTGAGGATCTGTGGTTTTGGAGGGTCTTCCTGTTGGTGCTTTTGCAGAGTAAAGGGAGTCTCCAAACACACTCTAGCTCTCTAAGTGGGTCTTTTTCCTGCCGTTTTTTTTTTTTTTTTTTTTTTTTGCCATCACACGCCGGGGAAATAGAGACATGTGAGGGGAAGGGAGCGCGCTGACGCGTATTGGGTTCTCTAAATGCGCGGCAGGGCAGCAACCCTTGCCTGTCCGATGTGTGGCGCCGCATCATTTTCTCTCATTCTTTACCCTGGCAGGACGCAGCCATTCCCAGATCACAGCTTCACTCCCCGCGACGCCCACCCCCACGCGGGGCACCCCGAGCCCTTGCTCCCCTGCCGTACCTTGCGCGTGTTCATTTGTGCGCAAACGCGTGCCCTGCGCCCGCGCTGCCCCGAGCACGTTATATATCCAGCTACCAAGGAACCCGGCGCGGGCAAAGCCTAGGGGTCTCACTAGGGACAAATGAGGCGATCCGGGAGGGTCGGGTGACAAACCGTAACTGCTCTGCGGGCGTAGTTAAATGATGGCTGCGGGGTAGTCGCAAGCCTTGTCTGAGAATCCGTCTTCCCATTTACGGCTCCGAGAGTCTGTTTTTCCGCAGTCATTTAAAAGGGAACTGGGAAAATGCACCGCAGTGCCTGACACTTCCGAGGGCTCTGGTGCCCCCGCGCGGGCAGAGAGCGCCCGGCACGCTCGGGAGCTCCAACCCACGGCAGCGGTCGCCGCGGGCACTGCGCTGGGGGCGCGCTCTGGCGCCAGATGCGCAACCAGCGGCGCCCTACGCGTGCGCGTCCCTACCGGGCCGGTGAGCCGCTCGCCTGACCTCGCCGAGCTCCTGCTGGGGAAAAAGGCTGGCGGTCCTTCGGCTCGAGAGAGGGCAACGGGCTGGAGTCTCGTCCAAAATATAGTAATGGTCACCGATCTGCCCGCAGAGACTAAGGATGGGAAGGATAGGGAAACCGAACGTCAGTGTGAATGTTCGGATCTAGGCTACGCCTTAAATATTACAAGGGGAACGTAAAGCATGCAGTGGAGCTTTTGTACAGACCCCAGGCACAGAGTGTAACCGTGAGATTCCTCGAGCAGCACCCGGAAATGTCGCTACAGGCCCGAAGACGAGGCCAGTAAGTCGGCCTCACCACTGTCACCAGGCTGTGATACGAATTGGGTGCTGAATGGCCATGCTGAAGTTTGTTCCTCGGCTTGGCCTCCATCCTATGCTGGATGAGGACGTGCCAAGGAAAGGAAGCCAAGGGCAAAAGTGTCTTGATCCAGGACGCACAGTACAACTCCGCCTGTCTTGCCAGTGTGCTTTAAGTGGAGAAGCCCCTGCGGAACACTTGAGGGAGAGCTGTGTGCATAATTACCCACATCGCTCTCACACTCCCCACGCTCACCCCATTTTTTCTCAGAAATGGCCCATTTGCGCCCTAGTGGCTGCAGAGTGTCAATGCAGTGCACAGAGAATCAGCAGTTTTATAGAGGTTTGTAGACCAGAAGATTCTAATTATGTTGGAATATTTTAGAATTCGTATTAGAATAAATATGCACTACTATTATATTTGGATTCTAAATATATTCCTTGACTATATCGCACTTAAAATCAGAACTGACAGCCCCACTTCTAATTGCCCTCCCCTAGCTCTACTTTTGCATCCATAGTAGTTTGTCCTTTTAACAGATCATTTACATATTACATTTATTGTGGGTTGATTTCTCCCAGTAGAATGTAAACTCCATGAAAGCAGAGATTTTTATCTATTTTGTTCATTGTTATATCTCAAGCACATAGTAGGTGTTAGAATGTGTGTGTGTGTTTAATGAATAAATGAAATAAACCAAAGTTGAGATCTCACTTTCTTATCCTCTAACCCTGCAAGTCTGCCTGAATAAATCCCCCTGGACACTCTCCCTCCTACCTCCACAATCCTGAATATTCCCTGTGCTCTGAGTGCTCACAGCACTTCTTGAAGCCTTACTTTCTGCCTCCTTTAGTAGCCAGATGTGTTCCAGCACTGGGCCGGGGAGGGCCTCCCTCTCGTTCATGCTGGTAACTCAAACTACCATGCATAGTGTCTAGAACACAGTGGCAATAAATAACGAATTCTATCTTAATGGATGGAATTGGGAAACTATCTCAATTTTAAGACCTACAAGCTATTTCCCAGAGATCATTTCAGAGATTCTTAGAGCATGGCTTTGTAGGAGATGATAAACATTTTGCAGATAGATAATATGAAATAGAGATGATTTTCTCCAGATCCCTCCAATACAGGGATAGAAACTAAGTTTTGCAGGCTTCTGCCTGTACTGGACAATAATGTACCTAGAGTATGGTTTCTTAAACTATTTTGACCATGATCCACAACAGGAAATGCCTTTTATATCACAACCCAATGCACACATACACAAATGTATACATTAACTAAAAAAAAAAAAAAAAAAGTTTCACAAAACAGAATTTATTTACCCCTAATACATAAAATACACTAATACTTTCTTTTCTATTCTATGCCATTTCATTGTAATACTTGTAATAATTCAATAAATTGATTTTAGAATCCACCACTAAGTTGTTAAAAAAAAAAAAAAGCAAAAACACTGACAATTCTTCTGATTAAGGTGCAATAGTAGGGAATAGATTGAGTCTCCCAATCAACCAGCCAACACTCTGAACAAAATATATGAAACAACAGTTTTTAAGACAGTGAACAAAAGATAATGAAGGCCACAGTTCAGGGAGAGGAAACCCAGGCAGAGCCCAACTCCCTCAGTTGAGGAGGAGGCATAACTCAAGGGACATCAAGGGGAGCAGCATTCACAGGCCTGAGCAGCAGGGAGGGGAGTATTGCACAGAGAGAGAACTCTGGAGATCTGAAGAGGGTCCCTCTCAATTATTCAGCAGAGACTGATTAACACATGCAGGTGATGAAACTACCTGAGTGCAGAGAAAGAAGTACTGAAAAGATTGAAGGGAACAGGATCAAAGAGAAAGTCAAAAGGGAAATTGAAAACCCTGCATATCAGAATTTGTAAGATGCCACTAAAGCAGGATTTAGGGGCAATTTTATAGCACTAAATACCTACATTAAAGAAAGAAAGATCTCTAACCAATGACTTCAGCTTCCACCATAAGAAACCAGGAAAAAAAGAGCAAATTAAACACCAAGTAAGCAGAAGAGAGGAAATAATACAGGCAAGAGTGAAAAATAATTAAATAGAAAACAGAAAAACAACAGAGAATATTGATGAAGGCAAGAGAGGTTTTTTTGAGAAGATCAATAAAATTCATAAATAGCTAGTCTGACTGATCAGTAATAGAAGAGAGAAGACACAAATGACCAATAACAGGAATGACAGCAATGAAAACATTAGGTATTCTGTAAATATTAAAGAAATACTAAGGGTATATTGTGAATAACTTCACGCAAATAAATTTGACAACTTAAACTCATGACCAAGTGAGATTTATCCCAGAAATACCTTGATTTCATGAAGGTGAGAACAAGGATTACCAGAAGCTGGGAAGGGTGGTGGGAGGATGAAGAGAGGTTGGTTAATAGGTACAAACATGCAGTTAGAGAGAAGGAAAAAGTTCTAGTGTTCAATAGCACAGTAGAGTGACTACAGTTAACAATAATTTATTCTATATTTCAAAATAGCTAGAAGAGAAGATTTAATATGTTTCTAACACAAAGAAATGATAAATATTTGAGGTGATGGATATCCTAAATACTCTGATTTGATCATTATACATTATATGCATGTATGAAAATATCACAGATACCCCATAAACATATACAATTGTATCAATAAAATATATATCAAAATTTTAAATTATTTTCATCAAAAAATTTAAAAATGATAAAAAATCAATTAATATAAGTTACCATGTTAATAAACTAAAAACTTAAAAGTATATGATCATCTCAAAAAACACAGAAAAGGTATTCGACCAAATCCAATACCTAGCTCTGAAAACTCTCAGCAAATGAGGAATAAAATGGAACATCCACAACCAATAATTGAAATCTACAAAAAACCCCACAGCTAACTTAAAGTGGAAGACAGAATGCGTTTCTCTATATAGTAGGAAGAAGACAAGGAAATCCACTTTCACCTTTTCTATTCAGTAATGTATTGGAGATTTTAGTCAGTGCAATAAGTAAAAAAAGAGAAATAAAAGGCATCCAGATTGGAAAAGAAGTGTAAAACTGTCTTTATAAACAGACAACATGGTCTCCTATAGGAAAAATTCAACAAAATCTACAAAAAAAGCTACTCATATTACTAAATGAATTTTCAAATTTGCAGGATACAAGTTAAATACTTAATAAATCAATTGTATTTCTATATACTAGCAACAAACACATGAATTAAATTTTTAAAAAATAATACCAATTATAATAGCATCAAAAATATGAAATACTTAGAAATAAGCACAATCTATAAAATGAAAAAGATGGATGAATTGGATTTTATAAAAATTAATAATTTCTGCTCTTCAAAAGATACTTTTAATAGACTGAAAAGAAAACCCACAAAATAGGAAAAGTATTTGCAAATCATATATTTGACAAAGGACTGTATCCAGACTACATAAAGAACTCTCAAAACTCAATAATAATAAAAAAACTTTTTTAAGTGTACAAATGTGTTGAACATATACTTTACCAAAGAAGGTATGCAGTTGGCAAATAAGCACACGAAAAGATGCTCAACATTGTTAGCCATTGGGGAAGTGTAAATTAAAATGACAATGAGATAGCTATACACTAATTGGAATGGCTAAAATTAAAAAGACTGACTACTATCAAGGGTTGGGCAGAATGTGGAGCAACTGGAACTCTCATACACTGCTGGTGGAAGTGTAAAATGGAACAAGCACTTTGGAAAAGTAGAACAGTTTTTTGGAAAGTTAAACATAAACCTACCATGTGATCCAACCTTTCCACTTCCATGTATTTACAGATGAGAATCGAAAGCATATGTGCATACAAAGATTTGTACATGAGTATTCATAGCAGCTTTAACAGTACAGGCAAAAACTGTAAATGATCTAAATATTCATTGTCAAATAAATGGGTAAACAAATTGTGGCATATCCATATGATTGAATGTTACTCAGCAATAAACCACTGGTACTTTCAACCATATGGATTAATCTAAAAATAATTATGTTGAGCGAAGAAGCCACATAAAAAGAAGTACACACTTCCTGATATCATTTTCAAAAAACACAAGAAAAAGCAAACAAATCTATATGACAGAAAGCAAACCAATGATTTCTGGTTAGGGAAGGGAGAAGGGGTCAGGGTGGGGCCAGAGGGAACAATGACATGAGAATGACAGATGTATTCATCATCTTGATTGTGGTGATGGTTTCAACCTCATCAACTTGCATGCTTAAATGTGCTTAGTTTATTATATGTCAGTTATACCTCAATAAAGCTGTATTAAAAAGCAATGCTGACCTAGATCTTCCTACCATCAACTTCTTGTTCCCATTGGAGTTCCATTAAAACCCCCAATTTTAGGAAGCCATTATAAAGTTTGAAGATTTTTTAATATACTCAAATTCTGTAACTTTCTTGTTTTAGAGGGACCTACTATGTAATTTATTTTACATTTTGAAAAAAATTTTGGGTAACCATGAGTTAGATGATAGAATAAATAGTGGCTCACACCTAGAAATAACCTGAATGTCCATTAACAATGAAACAATTCAACAAATTATGATATAGTCATGGA